TGTGTGTGTGTGCGCACATCTACATACACATGCAGTCAGTTCTTGTAATTCCAGGTGGTTCTACAAAGTCATTGAAAACATGACATCCGCCCATTCTGAACGGTGACTCCTGGGGAAATTCAGGCTCTGATCCCAGGGGCCTCTGGTCCTGGCATTTTCATGCCTGGATCAATACATAGCTGTGCTTTATGTGCTTCTGGGTAGAGATGTCTTGTTGGATGCGTGCTGCGGATGCACGGACCGAGCTCACACCAGCAGGGCCAGACTCCATCCTGGAGCCGAGCGTGTGTCTCTGGTGCATGTTTCCTGTGGGCCCACCACAGCCCTCTTACAATCAGGAACTCTGGACAGCACCTCACACTATGCTCAGGCCTTTGCGAACAGAAAAATCACCAACAAAACCACAAAAATGCAAAAAAAAGTGGCACTAACTAGACCTCAGAAAGGACAGTTGCTGCAGGAGCAGGTGAGGCGAGAGGCAGGTGTGGCCTCCTCCCACTCTGCACCTCCATGTGGGCTGGGCACCGTGAGTGGCTGGCCTTACAGATGGATTTTAGTGCATAGGTATATTCACAGATGATGTTCAGCTAAGTGTGTGTGTGTGTGTGTGAGTGTGTGCACGTGTGCCTGCATGTACATGTACCTATGCACGTGTGTGTTTCTCACACCTACCTCCTCGGATCTGGTGGTGACCCACTGGAGGGGAAGGGAAGACCCCTCCCAGAGGGAGATTCCTGCCCTCCTCATAGAGCTCTTGGGGAGCTTCCGTCCACCTCACCGGGCACCCGTCCACCCGCCTGGGACTTTGCTTCTCTGTGTGTGAGCCGCTCTCTCTCCAGGCAGATGTCTCTGGAAGGCCAGCTAGGGGCTCAGACTCAGAAGCGTGTGGCACCTGGGGTGATGGGGATGCTGAGCCACTGGCCTGCAAGGCAGCAAGGCAGCGAGGCCCATGGAAGAGGGCTCCCCTCCCAGGGCTGCATCCCCCAGTCCTCGGCGGCTCTGGCGGCAGTGCAGATGGCAGGTGCTGCCTGGACCAGCTCTCAGCAACCATGCCCGGTCCTGCCGTGGACCAGAGGGGAGCCAGGCTTCTGTTCCTCACCCACAGAATGAGACAGTTTGGGGGCTTCTGTGGTTCTACATTCTTGTAAGATTCAGGTTGTTGTTGTTCATTCTGTAATTCTGAGGATGCACAGTCTTTCTGCATGGTTTTTGCAGGCCATTTTAAAAACCTGTCTCTTTGTAAGTTTCAGGAAATAAAGGAATACTTATTTTTAATGGAATAGTTATTATTTTAGGTGCACCATTACCAAATAGACTAGTTTTAATTTTAAAAAAGCATGGTTCACACTGCTGTTTTGAGTGTTTAAAGTTATAAAAATCCTTAATTGTAATAATAGCACCATGATTCTTTAAGATCCTTTTCTAACATGTCCATTAGACAGACGGCTTTGGTTTGTTTCCTAGAAACTGAAGAAGTGTAGGTTATCAGCTACCCCTTTGGAGTATGCGCTCTGTGGTGGGTTCTTCCAGACCCACAGCTGTACCAACTCTGTCCCCACAATGTCCCTGCAGGGTGAGCACCAGGAGACCCATTTCTCAGATGCTCAAACCCAGCTTAGAACAGCTAGGATAGATATGAGCCATAATTTAAACCCTGGTGTGCTTGATTCCAAAAGAGAAATCCTTTTTTTTTTTTGGCTTTATGAAATGTGACACTAAATATAATTTAGGTTTGTTGTCACATAATTTGGAATTTTTTTTTGCAACTTTCAACTCTAGTTATAGTATTTTCTAGTATATTGATGGTAGGATGGGAATAAAGAAATTGAGGAAGTAAATTTATTTTACTGAGTTCTAAAGCTTTGCATAAACAAACCAGGCTTCCAAAAAAAAGATGTTATTAAAAGAAAATTTCAAATATATCTCTTATTCTGGCAAGTTGTGGCTCTTAAATTGGTACATGCTGTATATGTATGTATATGTGCACATATTAGTTGTCTCATGTTTCTTCCAGAAAGCACTATACTTAACAAGTTTCTCAAAAGTTTATTTAGATGCAGTTTGACTACCTGGTGAGCACTCAGCATCTCCAGGGCACTGTGGCTCTGGTCTCCCAGCTTTTCTGGCCACACTGTCTACGGTGTCACCAGTATTCTAGTCAATATTCTAGCATTCCAGCACTTTCCTGAGTCCTGCACACCCCTGCTCTGGGTCATCTCCGTTTCTCCCCATCAATGTAATTTTTCATCTCATCACATCACATTACTCATGAGCAGATGCCCACTGAGCACCTGGCTCATGCCAGACACTTTTCTAGGCATTGGAGATACAGAGAAAAGTAGAATAAAATCCCTGCCTGTGCTTTTTATTCTAGAGAAGAAAGGAGAAAATAAACAAGATAAATGTATTTAAAATATGTTAGGAACGACCGTTAATTTCATCCTGAGCTGTGACACACATGAAGCCAGGAAGCCACTTTCCGTTTTATTTCCTACTGGCTCTGAGCTGTGGTGCCTGAGACCTATGGGCAGCGGCAGCGCCCAGGGAAGGCAGCATGGAGAACTTGTTTTAATCTTGTAGAGTTTCCCGTGGACCCCTTCCCGTCCATCTGCCTGGACCTGGAGAGAGGCAGCTCCCCGCCCTCTGCCTGTGCTTCACGGGGTCCTAACCAGGGGGCCACACAAGCCAGACGCTTCTTCAGCATCCACACAAAATCCACTTTTCCTGGAGCCAATGTGGCTCCTTCCACTGCTCCCGAATTGGATGGGACCAAACCTGAGACTTCACTGTTCATTTTCCCAATATTCCTAGGGCTTAGCAGACTTTTCTCAAGAGAGAGAAGCTGCTCTTCCCAGACTCATTGCCACCAGGGACACATGAGCCTAAATCCCAAAGGTGCCCACTTGCTGAGCTGGCAACACAGGGTCCAGGACCTGGCACATCTCTTACAATTAAACTCACCCTGTTCTTGCTGATGGGCAGCAACTGACACTTAGAAGTGGACAAGGAATCAAAAGGGATGAAACAGAGAGGCCTCTGGTTTCTGCTGTTCCAGGCGCCATTAAAAACTCATCCCCAGATTCTGACTTGGAAATCTACCACCTGACTAGAAGACACACCCACCCCAGCAGCGGGTGGCGACTGTAGGGCCTCTGTGCTCTGGAGGAGACATTGTCTGTCCCTTGGGCAAACTGCTCATCATCTGGAAAAGCAACATCTGGAGCCCCACTTGGGCTTAACGAGATGAACAGCCTGTGCGGCACCTCGAGCCTTGCTGGGATCGCCCGACATTTGTTGAACGCTGCCTGGTTCTCAAAGTTCCAGCCCCAGGCGCCGAGTCCAGTGAGGACACCCTCAGCGCTGGGGCCTCTTCTCAGAGCTGGCCCCGGAGCCACAGCTGTTCCAGTCCACTCCCAGCAAAGCTCAGGCCTCTGCTTCCTCACGACCACGCGCTCTTCTCTGTCTTTCTCCAACCCAGCAGCAGCCCAAGACGTTTCGTCTCCCACGCGGGTGGGACTGTCTGACCCATGCCACCTCCTAGGAGAGACTTTCTGGGTGTCTTCGCGTGCTGCGGGTGGAGGGCCCACTCTCCACCTCCCGCTCTTCACTGGAGCTGCTGCTGTCGGTGATTTCTACCCCCTGTGCTCCTGGGGGTCCAGGGAGATCTCCATAGATGCCAGCTGTATGCACTACCTAAGACACATGCCCATGTCTCCTCGTGCAGAAGGCCTGTGTCCTGAAGAGCCTCCTGCCCGCCCAGGGAAGGGAGCCGCGTCTGTCCTCAGGCAGTCACTCCTGTCCTTCTTCCCAGTCATTTTCTTGAAGATTCCTCCAGGGTTGCAAAACCCAGTCTCCCTCTCACCTGCTCTTCCCCTCCTCTCCGAGCATCTGCCACAGCGAATGCCCCTCTTTTCTTACAGACTTCCCCTCAGCTCCTGTCTCCCAAACCAAAGCTGTCTCACAGTCAGCCTTCTCCTCCCGGGCGACCCAGGCCCAAGTTCCCCTGTAGTTCTGCTTATTGGCGGGTTCTGGCAGGGGTGACACAGCCTTCTTCCTGCCGAGAGGGCTGGCGAGCCTCTGTCTCTGAGCAAACTCCATTCAGGTGGCCTTGGTGACTTCCAGCACAGTCTGCTCTATTCCTGGCAGCCTCCCGATCCCCAGTCCCCTGTGACTTTCCCCAGAGGCCACCACCCACCCCACCAGAGGTGCTGCTCCTCTCTGCAGAGTACCACACCCCCACGGAGCCCACAACCGTGGCCCTCCCCAGTCCAGGAGCAGACCAGCCCTCACTACTGAGAAACAGGACCCATGAGGCACAAGGACAGACGCTGAGGTCCTCGTGCCAGTGCCACCAATGGCCACACCCAGGATCTCAGAGCTCCGCCTGCTTCTGTGGGAGCTCCCCAGAGCAGATCCCCACCCCGTGTCCCCTTGCCTGGGGGTGGAACAAGCAGAGGGCCAAGAAAGCCAGCGCAACCGCGCCTCAGGGCAAGTCTACAGTGACCACACCAAGGTCTAGTGCCAGCCACCGTGGCTCTGGGGGTGCAACAGCTCTCACCACCGCCTCCCTCAGAGCCGCCCCACCACACAGCTGCACTGCCCACTGTGAACAGCGTCACTGTCTCTGGAGAGACAGGCATGGGGCGGCCATGGCCCATTCTTGTAATCTGGTCACTGGACTTCCCACACTCAGGCCCAGGTCCATGACCCATGGGACACTCCAGGTTGCAGAGCCCACCTGTGACATCCAAGGCTGTGGCCCTGTCACAAGTAACCTCCCAGGAAGCAGCGGCCAAAACACTCCTCATCCTGGTGAACCGGGGACCTAGTGACACTGTGCAGGACATGTGCCTTAACACAGACCCCCACTCTGGTTGCCTGGCTCAGAAGGAAGCGTCAAGGGCCCAACAGGGAGACCCATGCAAACTAAGTCCTCATGGGGAAGCGGAGCTTTTTTTTTTTTTTTTTAGTTGTCAATGTACTTTTATTTATTTATTTATATGCGGTGCTGAGGATCAAACCCAGGGCCTCGCACATGCCAGGCGAGTGCTCTACCACTGAGCCACACCCCAGCCCAGGAAAAAAGAGAGCTTTTAGCCCCTTGCCCCCCACGTCTGCTGCAGCCACCCTGGCCGAGGTCGTCTCCCTGCTGACGTATCTACTTGGACTCCTGTGTCTGTGTGACACTGGCCAACTCCCCTCATCTGTCTAGGTACGGCTTCTTCATTTGTAGAGTGAGAGATCTGGAATTAGTGTTTCCTGGAGCTTCCAGATCCCAGGGGAAGGAGTCGAACCTTATGGATCCCCTGGTCACTGGGCAGCTTTCAGGGAGGCCAAGTAAGGGAAATGTAGACCCCCCTGCCCGGAGCTGACCAGCGGTGGGGACTGCAGTAGAGAACTTTGTGAACCCCTCAACACCCTGCTCTGAGCTTCGTAGACTCCAGAAACATTTTGAGAGAGATTGGGAAGACTGAAACGAAAGCATTGCATTGCAGATGTCCTGAACATGATTCATCTGTTGTTTGGTGCTTTGCTCAGTGGAGGTAGGTTTTATTCTGAGACCATCATAATGCTTCCTTATAAAAGAGACATGTGCACGGCTGGCCCCGCTGCCTTGACAGTCCCCTGGGGCTGGGAGTCTCTCCAGCCTGACCTGTGAGCAGAGGTCGCTGTGCAAGGGCTGGACGGGAGGTCCTGGCGCCTGGCTGTGGGCGGGGAGGTTGGCCGCCCGCCCAGGTCTCCCGGGCTCTCTCCAGTCAGTGGTAATTAAAATCTTCCCCAACCGGATGACCCTGTCAGCTGATCTCATGAGACAGTCCCCCCAGACTTTGCCTGTCAGCACGAGGCCGTTTAGATTGGCACTTGCAGCTGGTTGGCGGCCACGGAGAGAAGGAAGTGTGCTCTGCACCCGCCCGGCGCCCCTCCTCGCGCTCCCAGGCGCTGTTCAAGTGAGAGCCCCTGAACCGGGGCAGCTCTCAGGAGCCCTGTGCTTGCCGCCGCCGTGGCTTCTGTTTGTTGCTGGCTGCTCTGTGCCTCTTGGCTCAGCAGCTGCGACATTCTCGAGAGGAGACCAGCCCTGCCTTGCCCTTGCCCAACCTCTGCTAATGCTTTCGGGTGCTTGCAGAGTGAACTGTGGACCCTCATCGCAGCCTGCGGGACCTGCCTGCGTCTCCACCCAGGCCCCTCTGGTCCTCCTTACTCAACAGGCCTCACTGACTGGGGGGCGGTCCCCTTGCTTTCTGCCCCCAGGGTGCTGCTCTGGGCCTTCCCCCCACAGCCTCCCTCCCACCCTCCTGTCTTGGGTGGTAGCTGCCCTGCAACCTCCCCTGCCAGAGACCCCGGGAGGATGGCAGGGGTCCCAAACTCCACCTTAAAAGCCAGGAGCACTGCTTTCAAACTCCAGGTCTCTACTCATTCGTCATCCATGAAATTAATTCAGCGCTTTCCCACCAGGGACTTTTATAACGGAGCGGAATCAAAAGTGGTTTTGGAAAGTCAGATTGGGGCAAAGCACAAGGAGGGGTGGAGAGCACCGGGGATGGCGGAGGAGTTGGAGGAGAGCCTGGAGGGTCCCCATGAACAGCTGAGGAGAGAGGAACAGGGAACGTCCAGACATGGGGTCTCCATGAGCTGGGTGGGAGGGAGACAGCACTGTGACATGGTCCTGTGCTGCCTCGGTGACCAGAGAGACGTGTCTTCTCCCTTGTGCACTTGGAGCAGTGCCAACCGAGGGCTCGGACAGATGAGGGTCTGCGTGACCTCGGGTTCCTCACCAGGAGCCACTGCCCAGCACCCCCTGCTGGGCTGCCAGGTCCTGACCTGCGTGAAGGAGGCGTGGGAGAGAGGGAGGGAAGGAGGGAAAGAGAACTTGCTCTAAACTGACAAGTCCTCTCCAAATCCCGAGTCCCTGTGCCGTCACCTCCACCGCTGGGGCTTGACCAGGCAAGGCAAGGGTTTGTGTTTAAAGCCTTGGCGTTAGAGACAGCCCCACGCTGGCCCTGGCCCCACGCAGTCTCCAGCTCCAGATGGAGCCTGGGCAGTGCTCCTCTGAGTTTGGGTTTTGCAGGTGCCCAGGAGGCATGTCTTTGTTTTCCATTTGCAGAAGTGTTGCATGCTTTATGCACAAAATCAGAGAAAAAAGAATTTAAACATCACCCTGTAAATTGTTATTTAAAACATACATATATGTGTTTTTAATGTTTCAATGCAGACATGTCTGCACAAGTTGCAGACTTAAAATGTGACCATATCATTAACAATTAATAAAAAGCTTTAATAAAATCAATACATATAGAGAAGATTTTTAATGATTCTTAAAGAGAGATTAAAAGATCAAAGTTGTTAAGGACTCAAGTTACTTTTAATTTTGTGTGTGTGTGTGTGTGTGTGTGATCTTGAGCTAGGACTGACAATTTAATTCTATTAATTAAAACGACTGAATGGACTTATAGACATGAGCATGATAAATCTCACTACTTTAAAATATGCCGAAAGTTTATCTTTTCAACATTTCAAGTGATTTTCCTCAGTTGGTTGAAATCAGTAAGGTTTTATTATAAAATACGACTCATGCTGTAAAGGAAAAGATTTTGCTCCGAGTGGCTTCAGTGTGCTGGCTCTGTGTAAGCACTTACCACACATCCACATCAGGGCAGCCGGGAAACTGGGCACTGGTGGGGACAAGGGGTGATGGATAAAATAATGAGAGTCGTAAAAGATCTGTAGACAGAAGAGAAAATGACTCTGGCATGTGGGACAGAAGAACTGAAATGACAAAAACACACCTCAGTAGTTGGCCTGAGTTACTTTTTGTAGATGTCATTTGTGGAAAGTCTTTGAAAGTGACAGATTTCTTGCGGATGGAGAGGAGGAGGGTGGAGCATGACTCATCTTGGATTAAACCCTTTTTGGATAAGATTCCATGACTGTACACAAAGGAAGAACCAAGAGAGAAAAATAAGCGAAGTTAGTGGAAAGTGAGACATTCAGACTCTGAGAAAATGTCGGGGGTCAAAGACACTTCCTTTACTCAAGTTTCTTTTGTTTGTTTGTTTGACAGTAAGGAATAGGAGGTCCTGGTCATCCAGAGAAACTTGGCACCTGCAAAAGTCCCCTTAAGTACTGAATCAGGGACCCAGGACTACTGAGAGTGGGAGAAAACACTGCTGGGACTTCCATTTAAAATGTAAAGCCTCGGGTCCTACGTGTCGACAATTAGTTGTCAAGGTCAGCTGTGGTGACTTCTTACCCAGAACCTGTCACCCACTCTCCTCATCTGAGATCGATCCACAGGTCCCCGGCACCCCTGGTGGGGACGGATGGGGTCTGTGCCCCGCCGCTGCCCGGCCCTGCCCAGCCCCTCTGGCTCCTTCCCCTTCACTCTGACATGGAGGCGCTCTGCAGCCGCGGCCTCCCCCGGGCACTGACCCAGGCCCTGGCATCTCATCTTCAGCAGGACTTCCTCCCAGGTCCCTCCCAGGTCCTGCTCCACGTCTCGGCTTCCACTGCAGCCAGGCATCCATCTCCCCACACCAATGACACCAGACCCGTCACAGCCCCGGTGACTACCCTCTTGTGAATCCAGGGCCAGCGTCACTGTCCCCTGGCCTCTCAGTGGCATTTCAGCTGACCGGCTGCTTCCTCTTGGCTCTGCGCCACCCCAGCCTCCTGCTTCCACCTCCTGACTGCTCTGTGTGTCCTCTGGTCTCTAAAGGCTGCAGCACCAGCCCCTTCTGCATGGACACGTCTCCCACGGAGACCTCAGCCAGAGAGGGCTTCTAAGTATCTTTACAAAAAGAATCCCCACATCTCACTCCCCCTTCCGTCTTTCTAGCACTCCGACTTCACGGCAGAGTCCCGTCAACACTCCCACTCGGTGGGTCAGAGGGGACGCTTGCTTGTCCCCTGCCTCCGTTGTCTTCCTCTCTCTCCCTCTCCTGTGCATCTCGGGAGTGACTGTCTCGACCTTTAACCAAGTCTCCAGCAGTGTCCTTCATCTCTCCTCCCTGTGTCCATCTCACTCGATTCTTAGTTAACTCCCATCCCCTTTTGCTTCCCAAATAAATCCTGAGGTCATCTCTCCGTCCCCACTACTACTACTTCCCTCCACATTACCCGCTCTTGTGCCAGGACAGGGTAGTCAGAGCATTCACAAAGTCGTTGCTTTTTTGTAAAAGCTGAAACCTTATGAAACTCCACTGATGAATGATCTCCAGTGGGCTCCCAATGCCCAGGAACAAAACCCCACACTCCCTCTACAATCCTGTAAAAGTGGAACCCACCTAATCCACCCACACCATGTGACTCTCATTCACCCACCTGTTTTCCTCAGGAAGGAAGGACCTGGTGATGAGTGACTGACAGGACAGCAGGGCGCTGGGAATGACCTCTGTGTTGTGCACTGCTCAATTTGGTGGCATGTCAGTCACGATGGTCCTTGCTGCTGCAACAAATGGGCAACAGAGAAAAGGCTCGGATAGTGGAGCTCTTTCTGGTCCACATAACAGTGCAGGACTGTTGTGTAGCTTTGTCCACCTGGAGATTCCAGGACCCAGACCTGTTCCTCCACAGCTTGTTCTTACCTGTTCGCCAGGTAAGACAGACTGTGGAAGGGTAGAGGGTGAGCACGGCGCACCTGCTCTCAGGTCTCGGCCCTGGCATTTCCCCTTGCATTCCACTGGCAAGATCCAGACAGGAGGCCACTGCTGGATGCCAAGGGGGCCAGGAATATGGTCCCCGGTGGGCAGCACATCCTGGAACTCCCCTCTCTGGGTGGGCACAAGCCCCAGAGCTCAGCGGGCCAGCTCTACCACTGGACCTGTCCTTGTCAGGAGAGACTCAGGGAGGGCTTTGGAGCAAGGGGGAAGGATGGAGTGTCACCTGGTCACAAAACCAGCTGGCCAGGACCAAGGGGGACCTGCATCCTGGAGTACAAATGGAAGGAGACGCCCCTTCACCCAGCATCGTTCATGCTCAGCCTGCAGCAGGTTCCAATCCTGGCGTGTGTTCGGTGGCTCTCTGAGCCAGAGCACAGCGGTCCGCGTGGCGGGCGGGGATGAGCGTGGAGGGCACT